CAGCAAAATAAAATCGATTCGATTATTGATCTAATGACGACAGCTATCTTAATTTATAACCAAAGTGTCCATTCTACGACCACATATACCCCATTTTCATTATTATACGGTCCTTACGACGATTTGAATAAACATTTGATCGATACCCCCACAAAATTATATGATGAATATAACGAGAAACGGTACAGAGAATTACTACCTTTTTATGAAGAACTATCGAACCGTGTACTAGATAAGGCAACGGAAAGACTAGAAAAAATTAATCAAAATCGAAATAAGGAAATTCCAACCTTAGAAGGTCCAGTATATCTTAAATCTGCATTAGATCGTTCACATAAAACAAAACCCCTGTATTCTAAAGAGACCTCTTACGAACAAGAAAATGTCCATATTAATTTGCGCACTAAAGGAAAAAAGCATAGACTGAATAGAGTGAAACCGCAACGCAAAATTTCTAACTTTCAGGATCCTAATCCAGGCCCTTCAACTAGCCGGCCTAGAGATCCAGCTGATCGAGAATAAAGCACCATATTTTAAGCAAGAGCTAGGTAACGCCTATCTACTAAAAGCGTACCATAAGACATTTTTTCATATAAATCTCACTCTCATTAATGAAAATATCAAGCAAATAACGTCAAATGTCTATTTTGCAAAACAAAGAATAGATGATACGTTGATGACACAACTTGAACATGAATACAATTTGCTTTTAGACAAATATGAAATGTTAAAATTTAAACGAGTTAAGCGTGGATTATTTAATGGTCTTGGTTCCGTCATAAAATATATTTCAGGCAATTTAGATCAATCTGATCTAGACGAAATAATGGCAAATATGAAAATTCTGAAGGAAAATCAAGATAATTTATCATTACAAAATTCCCGAACCGTCTCTGTAGCAAAACAATTACAAGACAGGTTTGAAAATAACACTTTAATTATAAAGAAAAATTTGAGAGATAATTTGGATAACCTCAACAAATTGCATAGCGAATACGCTAATTCTCAGTATGTCTTGAATGAGATAATAATTATTCAAAGATTTTCTAATTATTTATCACACTTACTGTTAACCATTAACCTGAGCACAAATCAGGGCATAAATCTCTTACAGCTGAGTAAGACTGAAATTAATTATATCCATTCGTTATTAAGTGATCTATTTGACAAAAATGAACTTCTCCCACTTGATAAACTGCACAATTTTGAATTTTTCGAATTATGTGAATTAAGTATTATAGTCCTCGAAAAAGAAATCATATTTGTTCTTCACATACCAACAGTTACTGGTAACTTTATATATTCCAATATATACCCCATTATACACCAAAATAATATTCTGGCATTGAAACATAAAAATATTATCGAAAATGAAACTATACATTTTTGTGATGAATGCAAATTATTGAGTAATAAATATTTTTACTGTACTATACTAATCCATTCCAGTTGTAACTTACTTAAAGTTGAAAATTGTACATTCTTGGCAAAAGGTTCATTTTCAGAAGTAATTCAATTAAAACATGATAACTATTTAGTGAATACTAACAAGAATATTCCAGTATATGAAGATTGTACCAAAGAAAGAAAAGAAATTGATTCGTCTTTTATTATCAGCTTAAACTGTAAAACATTTATTGATCATACTGAGTATTTGAAGATTTCTGATATTTCGAAACCTTTATACATACCTAACATTATGGTGAACTATGATAAGAATATGTTATTTGAAAATACTGATGTAAAGGGTTATTCGGACATACAATTGAATAATGTTTTATTACACGATAAATTAAAAAATTTAGATTTTTCACACAAAACGTCCACGTTTAGCATTGTAACTATTTTATGTATTTTAACATTTATTGTAATTATACTTTGTTTAAAAAAACAATTGCTCTCTCTTTTGAAGCAAAAAGAACCAAAAAATCAATCAGTCAAAAATGACATTGAACTTAACCAGATTTTTCCTTTGAACCAGGAGGTTCAATCTTCTTGAAGAGGGAGGAATTACGGCACTGCTATGATGATGATCTAATATGTAGAGTTGCTTAGGTTTGCACTTTTCAATTCCTTTGTTCTAGCGTAGGTTATAAGTAAGAGATGCATGTAAACCAAGGTGACCAGTACTCATTCGTCTTCTGTTAAATAAAGTCGCTTTTTTAAAAAGTCGTTCGTTGTTTGCACATTCTTAATTTGCGGAGAAAGGTATATAACAAAAATAATGGGCAAAATCCGCAAAAAGGAGGAAAGTGGATTCGAGCAGAAAATAGGATAGGTAACCCGAGCGATACGTGTTTCTGCTGGTTGGCTTCATCAGGCCCATTGTGTAGGTTGGCTCTTGTTGTGGACTTCGTGTGTCGATTCGTTTCCTCAGGTAACACCCGTATGCGCATGTGTGGGCATGTGTATCTACTTTTTTAGTTGCATATGTGCATTCATTTCGGGCCTGATGAAGCCAACCAGCAGAAATACGTATCGCTCGGGTTACCTACCCTATTTTCTGCTCGAATCCACTTTCCTCCTTTCTGCGGATTTTGCCCATTATTTTCCTACTCCCTATATATATTTATTTTTATTATGTTATATATAGTTCATAGACAGAATGCATACTAAATTGTCGGGAGAGCTCATCTCAAATAAACTCAGGAAAGAATAAAAGTGATTTTGGGATTAAATCTGGTACGCGAAACAAATTATCTGATAATTTCAAGGCATATCTAGGACAGTTCCCTTTTTTGTAAATAACTAAGGTTTGGCAACATCAATGTATTACACATTGGGAATCACAATCAAAAACTATTCGTATGCGCAAAAATCCAATATGGCGTCTATAAGAAAAAATAAAGTTGATGCTGGAGAACAAGAGATGAAACGACATATTAAAATTCTAGTTATGACATCTTGTAGAGAAGAAGAAGTGGCAATGTCGATGTGCAATTTATGTTGAAATCCCACTACAAATAAAGCCAGGAAGACATTAAAATGAAGTACTTAGAATTTCGAAACTTTTTACGCGGCATTTTGTTGATTTAACTAAACATCCAGCTTTGCCTTCATTTAAGCGACTTCGAATCACAGTTTCTGAGATCCCAATGGTGAGCGTCGGATTTGAAACAGATTGTATATAATTTTTATCGCTGAGATGCCACTTTGAAATTTTCGGTTCTCTGGATTTTTCTATATTTGATACTCTATACATTATGGTTACGTGCCCATCAAGGTTGTGGTTTGGATTATAATACACCAAAAAAATTGCTAGCAAACAAGTTTTTAATCAGTATTGATGCAGACGTATTCATAACATGTATAGTGAAATTCAGAAGTATGGAAATTTCAAAGTGGCATATCTCGGCAAAAAAAAAAGATATTCAAGCGAATCCATCGGCATTTGAAAGTGCAACGCTTGTACTTTGCGATGGTTTTTTGAAAATAAAATAGTTGGCTACGCTACTAATCTCAAATATATCAAAAATCGCTATTTTTGCCCTTTCAGGTAAAAATTTATTGGGAAATAGAGCCAAATGGGAGATTTGGATCACGGATCGGATTCAACGCATCAAAAACCTTTGGAAAAGTATATTCTGGTTTTCGGGGTAAGAGTGTTGTCATTTTGGTCAGCCTCTGTAATGTTTGGACGCTGCAATACAGAACATGGTTCGTGTCTTAAGGTAGACTATGTTAAGCAATGACTCTTTATAATAACTTACTAGCTTCCAACCTATAAAAACACTAACGAAATGCGGGTTGCAGTAGTTCAGATAAAAATCAGAAAAACGGTCATTGCGTTATTCATCAACAGTTAGCGCACGCGGTGTGTGAGCTATCAAGGTGTCCAACTGGTTTTTTTTAAGCTATAAGCATACGGATTTGTAGTTTCAATCATTTAGCTCACCATCGTTGTAAATCTCATTTTCGAAAAGTCCGTTCATCTATGGATCGCTAATAAAGCGCAATCACGTTGTCTAGAGCATGTAATTTCATTTATTAAACTAATGAATACTATTTACAGATATTTTGATACGTAGTTGTACATGTTGCATAGCTAACTGTACATATTCACGCTGCTGTAGTGATTTCATGAGAACCTAAGCAGATCAGCAAGAACAAGTTCATTAATGCTGGCAGCAAGACGTGTTGAAAGAGCTCCATGTCTTATTAATTTTTGCATCAGCATCATAAATATTCATACAAGCATAATTCTCTAGGATTAACGTACTAAGAAGGAAATTACCTTGATTTTGAATACCTTGACTTCCAGATGCTCTCAGAATAATATTATGTCCATCATCATGAATATATTCATACGTTCCAAAGAAAATATGACGAGGTATCTACGTGGTAATATGTATGCATCTTCTCAGACACTTCCGAACAGAATTTGCAAAACCATCACATAGTTTAACTAAACTTCTTAAGTATTTTCGAAATTTTTACCAAAGGAGGGGGACAATAATCTACCTATTTTCGCCCACCATATTCGTGAAAAATGAATGATTCTATTTAGGTTATCATATTTATATCCAGTATTATTATCTTATATCTATACAGGGCGTTAATAAAGTATGTAGACAAACTTTAACCATCGAATCCTTGGGCAATTTGAAGACGAAATATTCATATGAACATGGGTCCGTAACGGCTTTTTTTATATTTTTATATAGATTATATTATATAGATTATATTGTATATATTATATATATTTATATATAGATCGATAAAAAATAAAACCTTCATACTGGGCATATTTATCGAATTTTAACCATTTTATGTATTTCCTGATCATTTATTTTGAAAAAGAATACTTGAACCACTAGGGCATAAATATGTCAACTCCAGATTGCTTATTCAGTGTTAGAAATATGCTTCCAGCTAGCCGCTTTTTTCATAATCGATACTTGTCTAACTTATCTACAGCAATTTGTTCACCAGATATAGTCGCTATTGACTACTAATGACTCATCGGGTTGAACGAATAAATGTTGAAACCTGGTAGGAACATGCGAATACTTCTTTTACGTAAAGAGGCGACCTCGAACAAGGTAAGTGAGTAAAGGAAGTGGTCAAAATACGCAGTATCGAAACTTTCAACCCAACGAACCAAAAAAGTTCCAAAATTGCCGATAAAAAACAAATTCAGTTACGGTCAGTATCACAGCTAACAGGTCCACAAAGATCCTAAACTAATCAGCATTTTCAATCCCTCAGATAGCAAATACCTGGTGCTACCTTCTGGAGAACTGCACATCAAGGACGTCGGACCTGAAGATGGCTACAAGTCGTACCAGTGCCGTACGAAGCACCGGCTTACCGGAGAAACCAGACTTAGCGCAACCAAGGGTAGACTAGTCATCACTGGTGAGCGATCTTTCAGAAATTTTCTCAATTATTTAGTGTGTTTTTTAAACTGTTTCGATGTGACGCTAGATTAAAATACCTTCATTAGAAAACAGGCAGACTTTCAATATTGGCGACTTATGGTTCTTTGCCCACTATACCCCATCAAACCAGAATAGTAACAATTTGGCCGGTGACGTCACGCTTTGTGTATGAAAAGTAACGCGACACAAACGCCTCACAAATAAATCATGAAGGCTAGAATGAATGCATAAATGATCAGCTTTTACTTATATATATATATATATATATATATATATATATACAGGGTGACTTTGAAGTTGAGTCATTAATTTTCAGATAATGATTGTAGAAGGAAGATAAACCAAAATATGTGTGTAAAAATAAAAAAAAAATAAAAAAAAATTTTACCTTGTTTTATAAAGTATCCTCCCGACAAGTATTTCAGTGCAGACCTGTATTTGATCGTGAGGTCTTGGAGCACCGGCATGCCGTCCATATGTGAGGTCTTAAGTCACCTGATTCACGAACCCGTTGTACTACATTAACAAAGGCACGAGGGGTTGGTTGCACTCGATTGGGAAACCGATCCGCATAAACATGTGCCATTTTTTATTTCGTTTGAGCCACGCAACAGTTACACCACTATTCACTACCGACTGACACTGACTGTATACAACTGAATGAAATAATTGTAAAAACATCGTTCCAAATTCTTTCGCTTTTTTGTTTCCGATGCGATGAACCGATAAGGCGGATTATATCCGTTGTCGCCAAACACGAGCACATAATATTATTATTGAGACAGGGCGGTACTCAAACTTCCAAAGGGCTATAACTTTGTTACTTTAATTTTACCAGAAAAATGGTAAAGGAAAAAACATTTCTTTTGATCAGATCTACTCACTGTTAAAATAAATGACTCAACTTCGAAGTCACCCTGTATACAGGTATATATATGTATATATATTAACGATATTCCTGATGTTTTACAACAGAGCGAAATTCAACTATTTGCTGACGATACATTAATGTATATATCAAGTAAAGACATTGAAACTGCAATAGAGCTGTTAAATAATGATATGAATAACGTAATAAATTGGTTAAATGTAAATAAACTTAAACTAAACACAAACAAAACAAAATATATGCTAATAGGAAAATCTTTAGACCAAAATACGATAAATCTTACAATTGATCATGAAAAAATTGTGTCAATCGAATCATTTAAATATTTGGGCATATAAGTAGACAGTAAATTAAATTTTTAAGGGCACTATGAATATATTATTCCAAGAAAATAAATTACTTTTACAGAATCTCGCATAGCCTAAGCGATTATTCTAAAAAAAATGTGTACAACACTATCATTCTTCCTCATTTGTTATATTGTTCGACTATTTTGTTCACTGCAAATGCAACTGTATTTTCAAAATTACAAATATTACAAAATAAAGCTATGAGAATCATCTTAAATAAAAATAAATATACTAGAATAAATGTTATGCTGAAAGAACTACAATGGTTAAATATCAAAAATTTCATAGCCTACTTGGTTTTCATTTTCATATTCAAGTTGAAAAATCATCGTCTACCAAAATCACTTAGAAAATTTTATTGTATAGAACAATGACTGCCACAATTATTCTACTAGAGGAAGTATAGACTTTCATTTACAAAACTGCAGTAGCAATACAACGAGCAAGTCAGTATTTCAAAAGGGATTGTACGAATTTAATAAATTAAGTTATGATATCAAGATGTGTGTCAGTTTGAAAATGTTCAAAGGGAAATTGAAAAAATATCTCATGGAAAACCAGAATTCATAGTAGTGAAATTTTGTATAAAAATATGTAGTCTTGAAGACATAATATATTTTGTGATATGCTGTGTAATATGGATATTATGGACATGTAGCATTAATACTAAATAAATCAGAAACAAATAAACTAACAAACTTGCCATGTCACTGGGGTTCCTCCTATTGTAATCGCGAATAATTTTGAAAATCAGATATAATGTATTTTGGATGTTATATGACTTACACCAGGAATCCATGTTACTCATTTCTGTCTGTCCGCTAATCGCAGGTCCGTCTATTACTTGGAAGGTACCAACCGGATTTTGATGAAATTCACACCAGGTAATATTCTATGGACGAAAGAACTTTGTAGGTTTTGGAAATCGAACCATTAACAACGGAGCTAGGGGCAAAACACGGGGAGTGACAGGGGATGGTAAACATTGCAACTTATAGACATAATATCATAACATCATGCATATTTCGCAAAATATTTGCCTGTGACTCTAATCAGCACCAGCTACCCAGATGCACACATCCTCTACCTGCGGAGGGTCCGATCCAAATTCAGCAACGCCAACACTTCCCCAGCATCATGTCGACGACGCGTGATGATGTAACGATACCAGGAAGTACGAAAACTGTTCAGAAATATAATAATCAAGCAATTATTTCAAAATAATTCATTTTAACAATACAATTATATTCATGGTCGACCAATAGTAAGAATAACATAACGTTTGAAAGTTGGCTCAAATACAAATGCTGCATATTTAAAGTTCATTTGTCCAGAATTGCGTACAGTACAGAGTCAATCTACTTGACGCCTTTTTTTGGGAGAAAAAGAAAGAGAGATAGTTTCTTTTTTGCCTTTCATTCAAATTATAAAAATAATCTCTCTTTGTTCTTTGCCTTCTCGTGCTGAATACTAATCTGGTATGATCGTAGTATGTTACCATATAGTGGACAAAAACCTTTATCACCTATGAAAGATACACTTTTACGTTTTTTGTCAGTTAAAACAAAAATAGCTTTTATAAAAACAGTAGTAATAGCGTAATAGATCAATGGGTCATTTTTCATTCATAGAGCATAATTGTTAGATTAATTCGGGATCGACAGGGAGCTGTCCCAGAACCGCCCGGATTCAGTAACCAATCGGTTTTGAAATCGAGAACCTATGATGCAAGAACAGAACATTTCTATTTATTGTACGAATAGGTATGTTAGTTAATATTAATTACAAGAGAAACTTAAGCACAGGATGTGTACATACCTGTACCTGTAACTTGCAAAATAAAGAAAATGTTTTTTTATAATTTTCTTGGAAGACCCAGGAAGAATCTAGTATTGCAATTGTTAAAATACTAACATCTTTAGTCAAATGAAATAGGCGATCTATATGCAGACGGAATATATTCCATTCAAGTTCGATTCGAATTATATTCGTTCTTAAATGACAAGTTAAGCCATTCGAATCCAGAACAGTTACGCCATCGCTCACGTATTGTAAATACAAATGAAGATGTAAATGGCGGCACATCGAAACAGAAAAAACGGGAAGCCAACGCAAATAGTAAAAGCCAGACCGCAACGTTTAATGTTACTGTCACATGTAGTCCAGTGAAATTTAACAATAAAACGCATAGAATTAATTTTGACAACAAGGATACAAGCTGTATGTAGGGCAAACACACGGTTTCAATGAGATAAATCTATTCTTCGGAAGTAAAGGTCTATATTGTGAGGTTTACATATTGGTTTTAATCTTCTTATCCTGTAGACCCTGTATATGCATTGGATAATGCTTTTCAATTCTAATGGCAATGAACACTTAAATGACTCATTTCATCATAATGCTATGTAGGATGTATTATTGTACACAGAGTATTTACTCCTTATAGTAATTTATACTAGCATTACCCGTACATTAACCTTTTTTTATTCAATGATATAATGTAATTTGTACCGTATGCTGTAATTAGCCATTCACATTGAGATACTTTGTATTGATATTTTTATCCGTCTATCCGAAAACTTAATTGCAATTAGAAATAAACTTTTTTATGCTGTTACGATTTAAATTGTGAGGGTTAATGGGTATTTTACAAGAAATTGGATTTCAATGTAGAGTTTGAAGGGAGGCATCGTTTTGTTATTCAGATTATCATTAACTTGATTCCAGATGCTTGTTGAAATAATGTAATAGCTTTTGGAAGTTGAACATTACGTTTCAAAGTTAATCGTCTGGAATAGGCTATTCAACAAGGTTTTCCGCTGAGTGCCATTTTTTGAGGTCCCCTTATTACCTTATCACCTCCAAGTGAACTGGAGAGATACTAAATATCAATGTGCCTCTCGTTCTCCATTACCGAAAAATGTGTGAATTCTTACGTTCGTTGACGAAAATAGTGGTATAAGGAAGCCTTGAAGTTAACGACTGTGGGAGGCAATAAGTAGGCCTCAAATTTGACAACTCTTATATTTCTCCCGAAAGGCGAGATTGTCAAGATAAGTAAAAAATGGAAGCATGCGACCCCTAAGGCTCTAAGGCCCGTATCGTCAGTCGTCCCTACAATTGTAGGGCGGCTTTATGGGCCTCCTTGATTGTCATAGTTTTCTACTTCTCCGTGTCAGAACTCTATTTTGAGGTTATGTCGCAAACATCTATTTGCATCAAATTGTGCTTGCTTTTGAGTTATATCATTTTTTATCAGCCTGAAATTTCCTACAATTTAAAAAGAAAACTTATCTTCACAATAGGAGAGCGCTGACGCTGACACGGGACAAGTGTAATCTAGAAATTCTTGAAGGAAAGAAAGGAGTATGACAATCAAGGAGGCCATAAACGCGCCCTACAATTGTAGGGACGACTGACGATATGGGCCTAAGTAGTATCATCATGACGCATTTATATTTTGAGATATTTTGAAACATAAAACATTGGATATACGAAAGATAAGGGCTTAGCTAATTGAGACAATCCTTTTATTTTTATTTTTTTTTTGTAAAAAGGATAACACATGATATAAAAAATTAGCTCTAAGATGTCTTATTTGGTTTTCAATATACAGGGTGTTCCTTAATGATATGCGAATATTTAAGGGTGTGAATCTATATGAAAAATTAATGTTAGTTTACTTTATAAACTATGGCCCAAAACTGTTTCCTTACAAAAACTAGGGGTGTGGAAGTT